CCCCCCCACCATAATTAAAAATATGATATTTTATGTATAAACACGTGGATAGAAAGAATTTCAATACTCTTTTAACCATGCTATGTTTGGTATATACTATAGTAACAAATAAGTGGAAACTCACTTGTGACTCATATTTGTATAATCTTTTGTTTAGTACTATATAATTACATTACATCATAAAAAATATATAATAAAATTAAAGGGAAAAAATATTTATTTTTCTTGTTATATTATTACCAGTGTCCCATAGAATCAACGTGTTCCTGTTTAGGTAATTGTGACTGAATTGAGTTGGGGGAAAAAGGCAAAGGAAAAGGTTGATCTGTTGGAACAAATGAAGTTTGGGGAAGAAGGCCTGTAGGAGAATATACACTGTTGTATGAAAAAGTTGGCTTCTGATCATGTTGTTGTGGTTGGTTCTGCTTTGGAACATTTAGCTTTTCACCTTCTAATTCTCTATATTTGCTAAGATATTGTTTAAGAGGGAGAACGTAATCTTCAAACCCGAGAATTGTGATGGCCCATATAATGTCATCACCATTGATTGTCTTTCTCTTCTCACGCTGGCATTTATCAGATGCTTCTCCAGTAACAAAGCTTATAAATTCTGATACACACTCTTGAACCGTTTCTTTTGCATCTTTGGAGATCTTTCCATTTCCTGGGATTACCTTCTTCATGATTCGACCCACATTAGCTATAGGAAGGAACCGATCTTGTTCTTTATTATTATTATTATTATTATTTGGAATGATTGACATTGTAGATAATGTTGTTGATGTCGGCATTGTACTACTTTCTGGACAATTTCCTCGCCTTTCATCCTCCATCTCCGCTACCTCTACCTTTTCTCAAAAAAATATATTATGTTTTTTATATCATATAACAAAAGTGGCATTACTAGCAAAAAGTTAGGCATCAAAATTGGAAAATTATAAGGTCTAAGATGAATTTCCAATTGTGTAGACCCTCAGACTCGTTCTCACTTTTAAAATGATAATTAAAAATAGAAAATATTGTGTAATTTGAAAAAATAATTTGAAAAATATTTAGTTAATTTTAATATACTTTTTTTCATCACAGCCTATTTTGGTACCTTATTTGTATTCTGACATTATTATGAACCCATATTATTTTTCATAGATTTATCTTTTTCATTTCACTTTAATTATTTTTATCCTCTCATTCTTGAATATTTTTAAGCCTTTCAGACCGTCAAATCTTATAAATTATGAAAAATCTTTTGTTATCTTTGCTTCAAATGATCAAGTTTTTTGTCACGGCAAAAAATAAGACCATGATGGTGTCCACTACAACCAATGAGTGGACAAGCTGAAACCCAACACAGATGTAGAAGACACAATTTGAGTAATAACAATAATAATAAGCGAAAAACAAGGACTATCTATATATATATATATATATATATATAAGCAACAAGAATAAAAAATAATAATACGCACCTAGTTAACATAAAAATAAAAGAGATCATTCAATAATAAAGCCACATCATTTCTTCTTGCAACACCAACACAAAAATGCATTTTCATCATGGGTATTATTCAAGATATCGATAATATACACCATCGATCCTCGAACATCAACAATAAAAACAAAAGCATTCTCAAACATTTGAAAACTCAAAAATATGAGGAAATGGGTAGAGAGACCAAATAAAATCAAAACCTTCAACTACCATAAAAACCAAAATACTAAGATATCTTAAAATAAAACTTAAATAATAAAATAAAATCATAAAGAGGAATAAAGGAACATGTGCCCTCACCCCCACCAAAAACAAATCCTAGCAATGTCCCCAATGCTATCAAAAGTAAGTACGGGAGGAGAAATGAGAAAAATATCTCCATGACAGGCTATGCCTGTGAAGTACCCCAATCTTGAGGTTCAGAAGGGATGGTATCGTCTCAGGCATTAGCACCCAGCAAAACTGAAATAGTAGGATGTGGGAGGAATAGTGGAGTCTGATGATACCCCACTAGTGTCAATAGTGGAAGTCTCTAGACGAGATCTCTCCATCATCATGTGCACTATAAACTCAACGATCTGATATAGCTCTATAAAGGTCTCAACTATCCTTTGTTCATCCTCTCTCATACACTCATTCTCATCTATCTCCTCAGCATCATCATCACCACCAACCTCATCATCTCAGTTATCCTTTTCCTAAATCTTTTATTTAGTTACCAAAAATTTCTTTCAATTTGATAAGTTTGTACATTGTGTTTTAAGATTCAAACTCGTAGTTGTTTATCCTTTGTGTTTTGGATTGCAGACATTTTTTTCTCTATGGGATTCGACCCCAACTCTTAGTTAGGTATTTTTATTGACGATGACCGCCTACTCTATGAACTTGTTTTGAGGGTAATTTGAGAGTTATCAACTCAAAAGGGTATTTTTATTTCATATATTCAGGCGAGGAAATTGATTACTAAAGGCTGCATTAATCATATTGTTAGGGTTCACGACGTTGTCCTAGAGCCACCGAGCTTAAAATCTGTTCTGGTGGTTAATGAATTTCCTGATGTCTTTACAGATGATCTCCCTGGTATCCAACCAATCTGAATTTCTCCATATAGAATGACACCAAAAGTATCGAAGGAATGGAAGGAGCAACTAAAACACTTGTTAGATAAGACCTTCATCAAGATGAGTGCATCGTTGTGGGGTTAACCTTTATTGTTTGTACGAAATAAAGATGGGCCATTGTGCATGTGTATAAACTATTGACAACTCAATAAGGTTACTAAAGAATAAATACCCGTTGCCAAGGATTGATGACTTGTTTTATCAGTTACAAGATGTCTAATGTTTCTCAAAGATTGATTTACATTTAGGGTACCTTCATGTGCGGGTTCGAGAGAGTGATATTCCAAAGACAGACTTCAGGACCCGAAATGGCCATTTTTAGTTTATTGTTATATCTTTCGGATTGACAAATTCCCCAACAATATTTATGGACATGTTGTACAACATATTTAGGCTATTTTTAGACTTGTTCGTGATTGTGTTCATTAATGATATCATAGTCAAAGCATAAAGACCATCTCTAAGCGATTCTTGAGATACTCGTATGTCAAAAGTTGTATTCGAAGCTCTCAAAATGTTAGTTCTTGTTGCATTTTGTTTCCATCTAAGGACATATTGTATCTGATAGACATGTTGACTTGCAGAAGATTGAAGCTATGAAGACTTTGCCTAAACTCACGACCTTAATATAGTTTCATAGCTTGTTGAGGTTAGCAGGTTATTATAGGAGCTTCAGGGAGGGAGTCTCTTAACTTCAACTCTGTTGACTAAGTTAACTTAGAAACCAGCTAAATTTTAGTGGAATACAACATGTGAACATAACTTTCAAGAGCTAAACGACGTATTAACTTATGCGCAAGTTATGATGTTGCCAGAGGGTCTGGAAGGCTATGTAGTGTATTGTGATGCTTCGGGCATCGAGTTTGGTTGTGTTCAATTGCAACATTGTAAGGTAATTCCGTACACTTCTGGATAGCTAAAGAAGCATGAGAAGAACTACCCAACTAATGATTTAGAGTTGGCTATAGTTATTCATGCCATGATGCTTTTGAGGCATTACTTATATGGTGTGCATGTTGATGTCTATACATATTATAAAAGCCTCCAGTATATTTTCAGTAAAACGTAGTTGAATCTACGACAATGTCTATGGCTCAAGTTTCGGAAATATAATGACGTGGACATCATGTACCATCCTAGGAAGGCGAATGTAATAGAGCACGCCTGAAGTTATAAATATATGGGCTGCTTATCGTATTTGGGAATGGAGAAGTGGGAGATAGCATGAGAGCTTCATCAACTAGCAAATTTGGTAGTTATGTTCTTAGATTCTTATGAAGGGATTACAATTCAAGACATATCTGTATCATCTGTTATTTCGGAAGTAAAGACACAACAACACGAGGATCCCATCGTCGAGCAACTAAAGGGAAAAGATCAACATCAGAAGTCATTAGCCATCATTAGAGTAGAAGACAGAATCCTTAGATATGGACATCAATGGTGTGTTCCAAATGTTCCAAGTCTTCGACACCAGATTATTATAGAAGCACACTATTCTCGATATTTGATTCACCGTGATTCTACAAAGATATATCATGATATTAAAGAGATCTACTAGGGGCCTGAGATGAAGAAAGATATAGTTGAGTTTGTAGCACAGTGTCCTAACTGTGAGTAGGTGAAGATCTAGCACCAAAAAACCAGTAGGCCGATTCAAGAGATACCCCTTCCATTATGGAGGTAAGAGGCAATAAATATGGACTTTGTTACAGGTTTTCCTCGCTTGTGGCGGAAGTTTGATTCTTTTTGGGTAATTATTGACATGCTAAAAAATCATCCCATTTCATACGGTGAGGACCAAGTTTTTAGCTGAGGATTATGCAGGGCTATGTATTAGAGAGAATTTTCTATTGAATGGGGTCCATATATCGGTTATTTCAAACAGAGGAGCACAATTTACTACCCATTTTTGGAAATCATCCCAGAAGGGTCTAGAGACGCAGATAAACCTTAGTACCATATGTCATCCTCAAGTTGATGGCAAAGTTGAGTGTACAATCCAGACTATCGAGTATATGTTAAGGGTGTGTTTGCTAGATTTTAAAGGAAATTGGGATGATCACTTGCCACTTATCGAATTTTCCTATAATAATAGCTATCATTCTAGCATTGATATGGCGCCGTATGAGGCTTTATATTCAAGAAAATGAAGATCTCCTCTTGGCTGGTTCAAGGTTGGAGAATTAGAACTATTTAGACTAGACTTAGTATACCAGGAAACATGTTGATTTAATTAGAGAGTGGTTGTTGACATCTTAGAGCCGTCAAAAATCATACACGTATGTTAGGCGGTCGAATTTAGTGTTTTATGCTGATGATTGGATCTTTTTGAGAGTTTCACCTGTGAAGGGAGTTATGAAATTCGACAAAAAGGGCAAGTTGAGCCCTAAGTACATTGGGCTTTATTGGATGTTGCGATGTACATGTCGGATTCCCTAAGAGCTCGATTTACCTCAAAAGCTAGAAGCACTTCATCAACTTTTTTCATGTTTCTATGTCATGGAAGTGTATTGGAGATCCAACAGGTATATTGCCGACAACCAAGTTCAAATTTCAAAGGAGCTATCTTATAAAGAAGTCCATGTTTCCAAAATAGATCATCGAATAAGAAGGTTGCAAAATCAGTATATAGCTTTTATAAAAGTGTTGTAGCGGAGCCGAAATGCTCAGGAGCTTACGTGTTAAGTTGAGGGAGACATGAAATTCAAATATCCTTATATGTCCGTTCCTTCAATGAGTAAACCAGCATTTTAGTATACAAGGTATGTAACTTCTGTGAAATATGAGTTCATTCATAGTTTCCTATGATGTTGCAAAAACCATCATCATTCGAGGAAAATGTCCCTTAATAGTTTCCTATAATATTAACACATTATTTTTTATTTTTTTATTCTTATGCAAAAGGTATTGGATTTCTGGAAATTCTGAAATTACATGTACACCAACTTCCGTGTTTGATCGGGCTACAAGTTGTGCATTTTTTTCCTAGAGAAATTACTATACAAAGATCGGCGCTAGGAGATGACAACAACAACTACTATGCCTTAGTCCCAAACACGAACCAAGAAAACGAAAAGATCAAAACAAATAAATAACTAGATCCAACATCTACCTCCATGCATAGCTAGATCCAACATCTACCTACATTACAACAGGTGTGTACTAGAGGGGTTTGCAAAGAAATGTTCCCTTGAAATTAACTTCGATTTCTTGAAATGGCTACCAATAAGACTACTCAGAATTGCTGGTGCTCCGCTTGGATTTGCCTGAGGAATCTTACCCACAAAGATAACGTTATCCAGGACCATCATGTTTAACAAACTTCTGCAACTCTGAGGATTCAGAACATGCATGTGGCAGATAATATCACCCTCTTTTATTCCCAGATTTTGCATCACTATGCCAAGAACACGGCGTACAAGACCCTTGTAGACACGTTCATTTGTAGTACCATCACCATTTAGCCAAGGCAATATTGGCTTACACAAATGCAAACCAGTAGAGCGGAGATCATATGGTTCTTCTGGGTGATTTCTTGTGGGTGAACTAGCTTCAGGAGGCCGAAAACCTTTTGCCTCATTGATGGTTTGCTTTTCACTTGAAGGTTCAACAACCGCTTTAGGAAGATTAAGAATTGTGACTTTGTGTACCTTATCAGAATTCCCACGTATTTCCTTCTGCAACTCCACATCTTTATGATTTTCTCCATTATGTGTAGCAGACTCCTCATCTCTTTTAGCCTCAGAATCTTCATAAGGAGATGATGTAGCATCTTCATGAATAGCAGCCACTGGAATCAAAAAGTACTTGGAACGATATAAAGAATCAACCACCCGAATAGAATCGTAAGCATTGACCTTCAAAACTCGTCCAAATGCTTCTAGCACCTCAATGACAGCTTCAGAAAGCTTTTTATCTTGCATCTTTAGAATCATCGAGATATCTTTCATGCACAAATTTTGGTCACCAGCCACTTGGATAGCTGAATAAACAGATCTAAACATTTTCGGATATACCAGAGAGTTCTGTTCCACACAAGAACCAAAGGAACAAACACGTTCAACATAGGTCGTTATGGCTTGCCATGGTGACTCGGTCGGAGAAACTGTGGTATATGGGACCCCTCTATCATGAAGTTCATTTACTTGGTCATCTGAGTCGAATGAGACACTGCCAATATCAGTGGCTTGATGATCTTTAACAGATTGTGCACAAGTATAGTTATCACTGTCTTTGAGTTAATCCATAATTTTTATTCTTGAAAGTGTAGCATGCCTCAAGCACAACCTAATTCCTGGAAAACCTTTTGCCCGGCGTGAGCAAAGCTCACTATCACTAACCATTGAAGTTTTCAGCTTTTTATACCTGTCACTGTCAGAAAATTCATTGTCATCATTCTTGCGTTTAGATGTCCGGGAGTCCTCAACCTCTTTAACACCTTCATCGGGTAGGCATGGTGCAATAGATAGTTCTCCTGAAGAAAGCAGAGCAAGAAGGTGGTAAACATCTCCACACTGCAAATCCGTTGTAAGATCCACCCCCTCAGCAATCAATTCCTTCTCTCTTTCACAAAGCCAGCTAGCAAACTTAGCAGCTCTTTTTCCGGTATCACTTGGGAATGGAGAAAATTCTATACAATTCAAGAAGGTTTGAGAAAGGACAAAAGGACAATTGGAATGGCCCCCAATCAAAACTTTTTTCTCCCTGAGGTAGTTGAAAGCAGCAAAGAGATCATGCTCAGAATAGCGCCTTAAAGTTTCAGCAAGCAAGGTTGGCACAAGTGGAGACTTTGAGCTACAGAGAAATATGAGCTTAAATAGCTCTGCAGCATTAGCAACTGCTGCTGATTCATATAATCGTTTACTGATGGGGATGCCACTAATTGTGAGATTCACATACTTCTGAGGGATCCTATTTGAGCTTATTGGTGTACCAGAATCTTCAGTATTTTCACTAAAATTATCAACATATTGTCCACAAGAAATTGGTAAAACTGACTGAGTACCACAAGAACCATCTCTTTCATCAGTATTAACATCTGAGCTGTTATCAAAGAAAGGCTGAACATCTTTCAAGGTCTCCGATTTGGATATCTTTTTGTAACGCAGAGCATCTTCCAGGACCAATTTTATATTGGCATCATCAAAGTTATCCCATGGATCTTGAGAGAGGAAGTTCGAGGTATTTTTAAGACAATAACACTGTGTTGCTTGATGACCCTCATGGTTCAATTTTTTATCTTTGGATTTCTCAAGGTAATCCACATAACGCTGACTAAGCACATTACACAGTCTCATAATAGATTTTCTGAACTGTCAATTTGTTCTCAATAATGAAATTCTCCTTCTGCAGGCATCAGGCGGTGCTGGAAGATTATGAAGCTTTCCCCAGTCTACACGATTGAATTTTTCTCCAAGAGAAGCTCGGTGTCTTGCATATTCGATCACCAGTTGCCTATCTACATCATCTGTCCACCAGAACCTTCCCTTGCGTGTAGGCTTCACTCTTGACAAGGCAATTTTATCAAGAAAAGCACGTCCTACCCCATCATCTTCAGGTAATTCTGACTCTTCAGCAGCTACCACGTCATCTCGAAGGTGATATCCCTCCAAGCTACATGTTTGTGCACATGAAGTAGACGGGAAAGAACTTTGTTCCTCGTTGACTATCTGGCTCAATGGTTGGGGCTGTCCAAACGAGGTACCAGCCTCCGCAGGCTTTGAAGATTTCCTTGTTACAGGTCTTTTCCTTTTCTCTGGAGATAATGTAGGTGTACCTTGATGCGGCTGAATTTCGCCCTTTCCAGCATCTGAAGCTCGATCAAAGCTGGTAAGTCGTCGTTGTCGTTTATCATGATAGACACGAAGGACCTGCTCCAAAGTAAAATTCAGATCTTTAGCAATCTCCTCACATTCCTTGAATGAAAGTTTCCTCTGTGAGCCATCGTTAATAACATGCTTAAGGAGTTCAGCCCGCTGATCAGCTGTCATAACTCTGATTGAGGCCCATGATCGGAAAAGAAATACCTCATTAACTGTGCAGCCGGCAAATGCATGCAAAGCGGCTTTACGATCACTAGCAGAATAGCAATACTCTAAAGTGTTCCAGTATTCCTCAACAGCTTTTTTACTTGAAAGAACAAAATCATGTCTGATTTGAGGGTGAAGATCTGGACAATGAATAGAATGAGATGAACCCACTAAGCAAACAGGTTCCCCGATGTAAGGTTTAAGCTCCACAGAGTAGTATGAGGGATATTTGCAGTGTTTTCTGGATGTCCATACAAGCCTAATCAACTTCAAACATCGCAAACTGTCAATCAATGATGATAGTCGTCCAGTCGCTCGGATATCCATCAGATGCTTGTACTCCAACAGAGGAAGATCAGAAAGGCGAAACCCATTTTTACATTTCTCGATCGTATCCTCAAACTTTTGAGTAGAGCCAACAACTTGTAAGAACAGTTCAAGCGGCATGGCCTTAATAGCTGCATTTAAATCAATTAATTTAGATGTACTATGACGATTTTTTAGGTCATGACCATCTTTAAAAGATGACAAAACATCTTCACAACCAGGCAAACTGTTCACATATTCCCATAGATAAATATGAAAAATCTTTGTGCGAACCATCTTGGCCAGTACAAATCCATTTGTGCGCATAGCTTCAGCTCGCTCAGCTTGGTTCAATTTTTTGCTTTGATGTGTCCTGGTCAGATCATTCAGTTGAGGAAATGGCTCTCCCTTTTTCAATTGAGAAGAGGCTTGAGTGCGGATGTATGTTTCAAAAGACTTGAATCTCTCATGAATCTGTTCAGCAGATACGCTAGAAACTGAAGGGTGCAAAACAACCTATATCTTACGACTGTGGTTACAATTTGTTAGACCAGGGACATAAACAACGATAAGTTTACAATGTCCTCCTTGCAAGAGCTTATTCAGACAACGATCTAAGGTCTTTCTGTCTGTCTATGTCGTCTTCTCCTTCTCAAGATCCTGAAGCCGTCTGTATAGCTCTGATTTGACCAGGAACTTCTCCTCCTGTAGAAATTTAAGTTCCACTGCTCCCTGTTTGCACTGGTTTCTTCCAATGTGAGACAGGGATACCTCGGATAAGATCGGCGTCTTGGAGGCATCGGCACAGCAAGTGCCAGTGCATCTTCTGGCGCAACATATGATGTTGCTGCACTCACTATCTGCAACTCTGCATCAGAAGTGGTACTGATTACCTAAGAAATGATGTTTTATGATTTATTTACAATGCACAAAGTTTTATGTTAAGTGTTAAATTCAAGAAAGATGCTAAATAAAAGTCGGCAAAGGTTATTGTAAATGTCGTTAAGGAATTCTCTGAATTTTTTTGCCAAACTTATCTGAAACTTGATCCTTGTATATAAAGATTAGAATTCCTATTACCTATCATATTGAATGTATACGAGTCTAGTTTTCAACACACTAAAATATTTATCCATAAGACTTCAGAATAGAGAGTTATGCGCGATTTCGTGAGACTGCACAAGAAGGCAACTCGAAGTGGGCCCCCTAACTTTAAGTGTTTGGTCATTATAAAAGACCACTATCTTTGTCATTTCTTCATTAAAAAAATAACTAAAAACCCAGAAAAAAAATGATAAATATACCTTCCAATACTCCTTGGATGCTTAGATTCTCAACTTGGATGTTTAACAGAAGTTGCTCTACATCGCAACCTCATAGTTGTGGCATCCTTTTCTTGTCGATTTAGGCTCAGTTTCGTGTTGATGCCTGGTGGCAGAATCTTAATATTATTATTTCAGACATTTTGGTTTAGGTAATCATATTTTAAGGACCCTCCCTTATAATTCCATATCCTAGTATCATTTTTATATATTTTTTAGCCACATGGTGGTGTTTTTGATATTGTGGTTGTGGGAAGCCCCTTCGTCATAGTTTGCCTGGCTGTTATGATTGGGTAGTGATGGTGTTAAAGTAACGGAGGTAATGGGTTGGGGGGTTTGGTGTGATTCTTATTAGAGTCACGTTCGATAGTTGTTGGCTGGAATAGCGTGAAGTATGCCTAATTGTGTTGCCTCGGGAGCTTGTCGCACCTTTGAGATGTTGTTGGAATATATTCAATGGAATTAGATGCTGATTATTGATGTTATTTGCCTCATTTTTTTTGTTTTAACTTTGCTGGTCGCGAGTGTGGCAATAGCGCCTTATTGATTAGTCATGGCTCATTCTTACACCCTCGCTTATTTTTGCATTGTTGTATTACTTTTTGTTGGGTAAACTTCATAGAGACAACTTTGGGCTTTGGTTGAAAGGTATGTAAAGAATACTATTTTTATTCTTGCATGATCCTAATGGCCTAAGATTTTTATGATCGGTGTATTGTAATTATTTTACATGTAGCATTGTTCTGTTGACTTGGTTACGACCATATAATATAATGTCTGTCGGGGACATTCTTCTCCTTGCTTAGTGGCCTAGAAAAGCATTTTATGATTGTGTTTTGATTTATTATGATTACTTATTATTTTTGTGATATTTTATAGTCTCGCTGCAACCTATGATCTTGTATTGGCCTCAACAGACATAGATACTACAGGGATCTTAAGAACACATATTGATTTTTATACCATGCCTATAGGCCGAGTAGACCAAGCCTATGGATCAGGTAGACCGTGCCTACGGGATAGGTAGGTTGTACGTATCGGGCATCATATATGTATTGTACCATTGAGCTAGATTGGTGTTAATTAATGGCACATGAACATTCATAAAGTTCAGATAAGATTATAATTGGGATCAAGGCAAGGGGGCAAATATGGGTATTTAACAATTGGTTGTGTTTGTTCGGACTTAGATTGATTGTGTGTTTTTAGTACCTATCAGCCCTATGGGGGCCTGGTCATTTTATTGCTTGTTATGTCTTTATATTTTATTATTGAAGGGAAATAATGTATTGTACTTGAGTTTCACCCCTACTCTTTTCATTCAGCACTTATACTTTTATTTTAGCTTTGAGTTTACCTTAAATTCTCGATACATTATTTTTTTCGAAGCACCTTGTAGGGGGTGCTGTATTCATGCCTATAGGTCTTGAGTTACGACTAGACACACCTTTCGAGTAGCACAGCCGCCTGTCCATTTGATTGGCTGACTTCTTTCTTTCAGAGGTTGCTAGAGTTCTAGAGGTTTGCTTGTTTTGCTGTTTTTAGATTTTGGGTTGGATAGGGTCTTGTCTTGTCCAGGTATTATATTCACAGAGGCTTGCAGACTAGTTTGTTGGGTTTTATAGCCACGTTATTGGCCATGTTGGACTTGATTTTTGGTTGGCTGATGTTTGATAGCTACTTGACATATTGGTTAGTTATGTACCTATTTTTATCTTTTGTATAGAGATCATGGTGGCTTTGACGGCCCACATAGCGTTAATGCTTTCCAAGATACCATGGTTGCTTCGACCGCCAAAATAGGCTTTTGTGTAGCTGTTTATTGCTTGATATAAACTATTGGGAGTAGTTGTTTTCTTTGAAAACATGTTGACAAGAGCCAAGATATAATTGTTTGTTTTCTTGACTGTGTGCTGCTGTCATGCACCATTAGTAAGTGGTTTAGCAGGATCGGCTCAGGCCTATGTTTTGACATTATGTGCCAGTTGCACCCCTTGAGTTTGGGCCAAGACACTATGAATGGGAGACAGGTGTGCTCTTGTCGAGCTCTCATTAGCATATCCTCCTCGATAATTGCACATGCATGTTTTCTATGTACGGTCAATAATGTTGCCTGCTAAGATGACATTAGGATATAGGCGAATGAACTCATTCTTGGATGGCATGAGGTTACTGCTAATTAACCCAAACTAATAGCGGGAGGCGATGTTCATGTCCTTATTTTTTATCTTCACTTTGTCAGCCATCCACAGAGGAGTAATATCATATATGAGGGGCAGCCACCCTTGAGTGCATCAAAGCCTTGCTTCATCCAGAGCTTGTATAAGTCGGCCATGTTGCCATTTGTGACCAGGATATCCCTAATGGGACCTGTGTGACACTATACCATTTTCTCTTGGACCTCAACCTCCTCTGAGGGTTTCCATGCAACTCCCTTTCTTTTCTTGGGCAAGTCCTTTGCATAAGCCGTGTAGAATTCCCTAATCCAAGATGAGACATACAATGGTCGAGCTCTTGTGAACCGCTCAAACCTGTGGAATTTAATTTTATCCCAGATGGTGGGGTAGTCACTAATCACCCCGTCAGTTGACAGTCGCCTCTCTTCAAGAATTATTCGTTCTCCTTCTGCTTTGAGCCTTT